GTGTGTGTGTGTGTGTGTGTGTGTGTGTGTGGTCTGGATCCTTAGACAGGAGAAGGAAAGTAACACTTGGGGCGAGGCCCAGCTCCAGGTAGCAGCAAGCAGTGGCTCATCCTTTCATTCAGACTCTGCCCTGGCAAGGACGGAGTACTTAGAAAAGCCTTGGCTACTCAAGCTGTTGCTATTTCAGAGGAAGTTAGCTAGAGGGAGGGTGTGAAGGACTCTTTGATATTTTTCTTTTTCACTAAGGGGAGGGAAAGCTTCTGCAGAAAGAAAAATAAATCTCATGAGTCAATGCGACATTTGCAAATGCTTTTATAGCAGGATCATCAAACTTAGTTGCCTTACTTAGTCTTTTTCTTTCCTTTGAAAATTACAGCAGTAATACATGCACATGGTAAACACACAAGCAGAGAGTGGAACAGTGAGAAGTAGATGTCTTCTTTTCCTCCCCACATGTAGGCCCGCTCTACAGGTCATCGGTTAGTGGTCATTGCATACACACACACACACCACACACAAAGCTACGCATGTATATAAAACATCAGAGCATAAGGACTGTGTTAGTTTGCTGGGCTGACATAACAAAGTATGTAGGTTGAGTGGCTGAAACAACAGAAACTTAATCTCTCACAGTTCTGGAGGCTCAAAGTCTGAAATAAAGGAGTTGAAGACTTGGTCTCTTTTGAGATCTCGCTCCTTAGCTTGCAGATGGCTGTCTTCCCTGTGTCCTCACATGGTTTTTCTGTGTGTTTGTGTCCTAATCTTATCCTCCAGGGACACCAGTCATATTGGATTAGGGCCCACTCCAATGACCTTGTTTAACCTTAATTACGTTATTAAGGATCCTATATCCAAATGTTCTGAGATACTGGGGGTTAGGACTTAAACTTGTAAATTTGGAGAGTGTGTGGGTGGGGAAGATAACTCAGTTCAGCCCAGAACACTGACTTACTCTTTTAACTACATTGTATTGTGTAGATAGCCCATAATTCATGTATCTGGTCCCTGTGTATCTGGAGAATAAGACTGTTTCCATGCTTGTAGTGAATAACCTCACACCTAAATCTCTGTGCCCTGTGTAAGTATACATGCAGGGTGAACTTGTAGAGAAATTGCAAGCTTTGGCCTCCAAAGAGATTGACTGTGTCCTTCCGGAGTGCATCATAATTTCTTGTGGAACAGGAGAGTGTGCGGTACCTACAGATTAAAGCCCTAATACTTTGTGATATAATGCTGGTGTGAGAAATTCAGAGTGTGGCACAGGACTTGTACACATGCCCTGTGGAATGGGATGGCCAGCTCTTTGAGGAATGTTGCCATTATGAGTTTACTGTACACTTTTCAGTCACCATCCATGTATTGAGGCATTGATGGACCCTGTTTTGCTCATTTCTCTGTTGTTGTTATTTTTATTGTGGTTTTTTTTTAGGTTTTTTTAAAATTGATTTTAGAAAGGAAGGGAGAGGGAGAGAGAGATAGAAACATCCATGATGAGATCAGCTACCTCCTGCACATCCACACTGGGGCTCGAGCCTGCAACCTGGGCACGTGCCTAGACTGGAAATAGAACTGTGACCTCCCAGTTCCTAGGTCCATGCTCAACCACTGAGCCATGCTGGCTGGGCATGTTGTTATTTTTAAATAGACCTTAATTTTTAGAGCAGTTTAGTTCACAGAAAATTTGAGGAAGGTACAGAGATTCCCCATACATCCCCTGCCCCACAGGTGCACAGTCCTTCCTCATTATCCACACTCCTTGCCAGAGTGGTACATTTGTTACAATTGATGAACTTATAGTGACATATTATCCAAAGTTCATAGGGCTTACTCTTGGTGTTCTATATTTATTTGTTTACTAGAGGCCCTGCGTATGAAATTTGTGTACGGGTACAGTCCCTAGGCCTGGCCTGTGATCAGGGCCATCTTCCCCAGCTGCCCACAACCAGCCCTGCCCCCTGCCGCCACCCACCCCCAGTTCCCCATTCACCATCAGGTGATCAGAGCCTGCCAGCCTGGGGGAGGAACCGAGAGGTGGGCTGTTTCGCCTGCTCGCCGGCCCCAGCCCCGCCACGGGTTGCCCTCTGTGTGTGGGGTGACCGGTGGGGCGGATGCCTTGGCCTGGCACCACCTGAGCCCCCTGCCACCCACCCCCGGTTCCCCGTTCACCATTGGGCCATCAGAGAGGTGGTCAGTGCACATAATAGTGACTGGTCTAGTGGTCGTTCTGCCATTAGGGTTAATTTGCATATTAACCTTTTATTATATAGGATTATATTCTGACTTGTTCAGTGAAAAGTTTTGGCCTTCTGTTGCTGGGGTAACAAGACACTGGCACTTCTCTTCAAGCTGTGACAGCCTGGAAGATAGGCTGGCCAGGAATTATTCCAGTTTTGAAAGTAAGGATTAGGGGAGTGACATACTCAGGGTGAAAAAGCCATAAGTGGCACGGGCTGGGTGTGAACCCCTTTTATTCTAAATTTTGCTTTTCCAGAAAGAAGTGGTAAATCAGCAGGGCCGTGAGATTTTTTTTTTAGAGGCTAATATAACATTTCTTTTATGGATGCTGGTTTGAGTTTCTACTTGTGTATATTAGTGTTTTTTTAACTAAAGATAATGCACTTGTTCCCTTGGTTGCTGACATAGTTTGCTTTGATAAATAACTA